ATACAAATTTCTCTATATAATTTTCATCTTTTTATTAGGAAAAATTCAAAAAATGTTGAAATTTTACATCTGAAAAAGTCATATCTCATGTAAATTTTCTGATGCAAAATTACATGTGGTATGATTTTTTTGGACGTAAATTTTCGATTGTAAAATTTCTTTCAACTTCTTGACAAGTTCGATTGTGCCCCCCTAACTTTAAACTTCTGGGTCTGCCCCTGAATAGTAGTGTCAAGCATGATGTAGACAAAATGGTATACAAGTGACATTATCCGTGATCAATCATGCTACATGTACGTCATTTTTTACATTATTTCACGTGACAGCACAACATTGAACAGTTTAAAAACATAAATAATTTTCCCTTCAGTCGTCTTTTAACATCACATCAGATGTCAAAAACATCTATAGCATTATTCATCCGTGATTCAAGGGCACCTTCTGGATTTGCGGGCTGTAGTAAGATGCCAATGGAACAGACAAAAGACAATCCCAGTAAAATGGTGGATGATTAATTTCACGCCTCAAAAGGATTTAACCCTCGTTTGACTCTCATTTATAAAAAAATTTATTTTTTTAACTACACATTTTTTAATAAAATAATTTTACACGTAAATCGAAAAATTTTCCTTATCACACATTATCCAATGTTAACTCGAGAAATATGACAGATGAATTCCAGTTTACATGCCATCAGAGAGTTGCAACCTTGACGGCAAGAACCAGCCGATCAATTTGCCAAAATAATTGTCAAAGATTTTAAATTCAAAGACCGAGAAACTTTTTCTCTGCCATGATGTCTTCATTTGGATGACTTGAGCTAGTTCGACTCTTTCATTGGATATTCCCTTGGTAGATCCAATCCTAACATTGGCACTGCCCCATCTCACGAAATTATTCATTATTATACCAACACCGAATTTGGTGTAAACAATTAAAGATGGTCTTATATAAAATTTTACACCACATTTTATTTAAATATTTAATTAAAAATTATATTATTACTAAAATCATTAAATTAATACAAAAAATAGAGTACCATAATTAAAAAATTATATTGAATGCACAAAAAATTTACATACTCGTTTTATCGCTTATTTATCATACAAGTCATGAGTTTTTTGTAGGCCATTTATAAGAGATATATACATACGCGGACATCTTGAGTTAAGAGGCATAGTCAAACTCGTTCTCTATACATTTTCATACTTTGATAACATTCTATAATTACATCATTTTCGATATTTTCAAATATATCATTCTCAATATATAAAATCAAACTATCATTCAACCACCGATCTCCAATTTGATTGTGTGGACGATTCTTGACATAAATCATTGCAGAAAATGCTCTATCGATTGTAGCAGTAGCCATGAGAAGAATTAATGCCAATGTCATCACCAAGTCCATTATCCCTTCATCTCTAACATCATTTATATCATTTTTATCTCGAACATTCATTTAATTAATATTTGCTCTTCACAAAAAAACGTAGATTTACATTTAAAGAATTTGTCCATGACTAATACAAATAGTCAATTAAAATGATCAATACAAGTAATCGGAAGGAAAAACATACAGTCAATATTCAACACTAATAATCAATTCAAATAAAGACAATTTAATAAATGTAGGGATATAATCATTCTAGCCCATTTTATATACACAATTCAAAAATCATTTCATATAACATAAATAATTCCAAATCATTTCAACCTCAGTGTAGCTAAATTATAGATATAATCCCAATCCATTTTCTCTATCATTTTGAATTTTAGTAAAAAAAAAAAATTATAAATTACCGTCTTCTACCTACTATCCTTTCAATTTTTAAAGCACAATAACTTAAGTTGATTGTGTCAAAGGTCCGATGAGTGGATGTGACGTCTAAATTGCAGTGGCAAAAAAGGTCGGGGTGTCGTGATGACAACTTTTGAAAGTCATTTAGATTCTAATTAGTTCAAAATTTGATTGGAAAATTAAGATATATAGTAAATGCGACAATTTATGGAGAAATTTTAGACAACTTTTGAAAAATTAGAAGGGTTAGAATTTTAGTAAAAAGGGTGAGGGAGGGAGGGAGAGTATATTGTGATTCTCTGTAAAAAAAAAAAAAGGTCCAAAATTATATAAACCTGTTTGACACCCATTTTTTATCTCATTCTCATTCTCATTTTTCTACGGTACTCATTTTTAACCACACATTCTCCAAATAAAATAATATTACACATAAACCCAAAAATTCTTTTTACTTTTTAACCACACATTATTTATATCAATCACTATTCAAAAACTCATTCTTCAAAATAATGGGTGTCAAACGGGGGCTATATTATATTATGATTGCTATAAATTTTCATTCTAATAGGTTTTAGCTTGTTTTCTTTGTTTTCTCCACGTGCGAAGATGTCACTTGACTTGATAAAGCAAACATTCTTCGCCAAGTCGTAACTTATAAAATTGAGATATTTTTTCGGTAAGTTTTGACAGATTTTCCCAACGCATAAAAAATAAAATTCTGGGATATTAGCATATACATATTTCCGATTACAATTTTGGCCCAATTAATTAAAGCAAAGTGTCGATCCATGTATATGATCCAAAAGATGTACAGAGAATTGGCCTTTTGTACAGCCAATTTGTCTCCTTGTCTAGGTAGGTCTAAAGGCGGCTTAAGTACACTGTATAGAATTTTCCCCAATGGGTCCTCATGTTTGATTAGTGTGTGAAGATTATCTTTTCTTTAGACCATATGCTCTCCATAATTCAACTTCTTGTGATCCCCCAGATGCCCAATGACACCGACGTGTGCGAAAATTCTATCAATTTTTCAACTGATCAAACTTTAATTTTAATCACACTTTTTTTTTTTTTTATCAATATCTCATTATTGAATATTTGTATCTCGAAACTGAAGATTAAAAAAAAATATTCTTGAATTAATTGAAAATTCAAGGAATTCAAAGGGATTTTCTCATCATTGAAATAATGTTTTTCGGGTGATGAACAATCAATTTTTTTTGTTGTTTCTCCAAACTTAGCATGTTATGCTAAATTTGTTTCGTGTTGTGATGATGATATAAACCCTTAATTATTTTAAATCAAAACTTATTCTTTTAAGTATTATTTGACTTGATTGATTGATATCCTGTTTATAATGTTTATTCGAAAAGTTATGCTTCATGTACAGAAGCAGAATTCACAGAAATTTAATAGGTACTCACAGTAGGGGGGTGGGTTGGTTTTTTTTTTTTTCAATATTTTACTTACATGAGGCCCACCCCCACGTGAGAGATCTGTAGGAATTATGACACATCCATTTCTGTACAAATGGATTTGCTCTTGTTTGAATGCTTGATTATCATTCAAATAATATGAAACTTGTTTTATTTTTGAAAAAGTTCGAAGTAGGTTCAACACATTGACATTATGTCCAATAGACGCTAAGAATAATTGTTTATAACTTGTGCAATCAAAATACATAATCTTGTGAATTAACGCATTTTCAAGTATTCGAATTCGGTATAGAAAATTTTGTATCATATTTAGAGATATGTTTAACTTCGCTCAAAATAGGTTGTTGAATAAATCAGGATTATCGATTATCATACACAAATTTAATTAAAAGATAGAAGTTGAGAATTAGCACGTTCCATACTCGTTTTCTTATTATTCTTTATCAACAATCACGTATACACGTGTATGAGATTTCACCGAACAATGGACAGACAAATGTCCTTATGTACAACCAATTCTTTAATTCAATATATTGGTTTCAGGTAGTCTAGGAGGCTGCTTAATCGCTAAGTACAATGAAAATTGTGTTAAAAAACATCGAATTTTCCCCCCGTGTGACATCAAGTTTGATTAGTGTGTGAAGAGGATCTTTTCTTTAGACCAACTACCCAACATGCTTCCAGAATTCAACTTCAAGGTCCAATGTCACTGACGTGTATTAATTTCTATCTATTCCATTATTTTTTCCCTGAATGACAACTTGAATTTTTCTTCAATTTACAGTGTAAAAGTCACAAGCTCAAAACGACTACACATACATCACTTTTTGTTAGTTTCTTCGATGTACAATTAATTTCCCAGTTTAGATACATAGTTAGGAATTTGCAAAAACCAACTCAATTTTCTGGTCAAAATAT